GGGTCAATACGGGTCCCACCATGTCGACGAGATAAAAAAATGAGTTTCAGGCTATTTTTGGTCAAAACTGTTATTTTTTTGTCAAAAACCCGGTCCACCATGTTGATACCCATATAAAGATTTTTTTAATGTTCCAATATAATTTTTGGTAATTAAAATTGATTTTTAGCGGTTGAAAAGCTTTTTCTAATACTGATTTGAGTTTTTAATTTTACCCCTATAAATATTTATTATTATTATATATAACAAAACAAAAAAAATAATACGGTTTTGTCATAGTAGGCGGAGGGTTTTTGCCGATGGTAGGCGGTGCAGCTGTAACGTTGAAATTTTGCACACCATGTGATTTTCTATCCCCTCTTCATTCGCTATAAATAGCCAATGAAAATATGCTAGAGAGGAAGAAAAGGAAAAAAACAAAGTAGAGGAAAAAGATAAAAAGCTAAGCGTACTATTTATTTTGTTACTATTTAGCTACTATCCATGTATTTTCTGTCTTTTCTTCACGCGAGTAAGATATTGATTTTTTTAAAAAATAATTTGAAAAATACCAAAAATATCATAACCATTAGATCTAATAGTGTTTAATTCTGGGCCTTTGATTTAATAGGATACAATAGGGCTTACCATATTGGATTAAAACCCAAATCCATCTCAGCCCTTAAAATAATATGTCTTTCCATCCTGTTGTGCCACGTCATCAGGTGTACTAAACACTCGGTGCATCGCGCCACACTGGATCACAACTCATCCCATTTGGACCGTCCGATTAACTTATAGATCAAGCCAATCACAGCCGCAGGATTAGTTCATCCGCAATCCAACAATTCACAGCCTTCAGAGGCACCGGTGCACCATGCTCGTGTTCACACCTTAGCAACATCTTAGAGCCTCTCTCTCCTCTCGCCGACGATTCTCTCTCTCTCATCCGATCTCCCATTTTCGGTCGTTTTAAGCCGCCAAACCACCATAGAAAGGTGAATCGCCCTCTCTGAAGCAAAACCCGCGTGATCGCCGCCTCATTTGGCTGGAAAAAGGCCGTGATTGTCATCAGCCACCCAAGGCTTCAAACCGATAATTCTCCCTCATCAGCCATCAATGGTATTCGAAACCACCGTCATCAGGAAAAAGGCCGTGATTGTCATCAGCCACCCGAGGCTTCAAACTGAAAATTCTCCCTCATCAGCCATCAATGGTAGCCGAAACCACCGCCATCAGAATCCTCTCCCTCAGATCTACTAGAATCAACCATTTGTTTGCTGGAATCTCGCTTGGAAATTTCACTGCCTCCAACAGTAACCACGCGTGAGGCTCACGCGCCGCCAGGGGCATTTTCATAAATTTCCTACAAATTCAAGGGTATTTTAGTGTTTTACCTATACAGTGGCACTTAGGTAATTTTTTTTATTTTTTATAGTATTTTTTATATTTTTACATATAAATACTTGTAATGTTTTTTACATGTAAAAAAAATAGAAAAAACTAAAAATAAATATAAAAGGAATAACAACACAGATCCAACACCCATCTTATCATGTCATCGTTCATAGGTTCAAAGCCCAATTCTCAAGTATGGATATACCCATTTCTCAACGATATCAAAATAATTTTTTTTTATAAATAAATGTTATTTGTCGACATGTCTCTTTTATTTCACACAAGTAAGGGTAACCTTTCTCTGAAAGGATGTTTTAAGGGTGGTGTCTACCTTCCCTTAATCATAACTAACCCAGTACCTGAGTCTCTAGGATTGGTGTCTAATTTTAGATTTCTAGTTCCCTCAAATTACTAGATGGCGACTCCAATAAAATCTTTTTTTTCCCCAATCGAGAAAAATCTTTCTTTTTGTTAAGTAAACAAAAAGAGTTGAGCCGTCACCCGACGTCGGGTAGCGACAGAATGGCGACTCCATTGGGGAAATAGGGTTGAACCAACTGCTTGTGTTTGCTTTTCATATGCTCTTTCTTATTGCTATTTATTGTTGGCATTTATTTTATTTGCATTATTTATTACTGTAATTCTTTTCAATTTTCCATATTGCCACATGCATGCATGTTATTATTTGTGTATTCACACACTTCACGGTGAACCCATAAAAGCTCTAGACCCGAGCTTGTCCTTTTTTAAGATTAGAAAAGAAAGATTCAAGTGGCAAGAGTAACTTATATCCACTAATGCTCATTTGGACTTTTGCTAGGATTGTAACTCACCCTATGCAACGGGTATTGTGGAATTTTTTCCCATACTCATGTTGCATAAGGTTAAGAGGTCGATTACTTCATGAGTAATTCGAGCAATCTAAGAACCAAAGAATATCTTTGAGGATAGACTAAACTGAGACAAACCTTATAAGTTAGATCCTATCAAGTAGGATATACCTTTTCAAACACAAACAAATGTCAATGCATTAATATATATTTTTGTATACATTCCATATTCTCATTATATCTCCACCGATTCGTATAGGAAGTGTGAGATGGAAAAAACCAATACTATTGAGGAATTTTTTACCAGATCATAATTAAACCATCAAATTTCTCCTCTAAATTGGTTCAAGTTCCTGTAGGTTTGGAGTCCTCAATGATAACTTTATTAAGAGAATCTGATCTGGTCTGTTCCTCATTGAAAACCTGAAACAAATAACAAGCATGCATCATCCATATGGCATTTTGCATCCATTTATGTATTTCATTCATTTTACTTGCATTCATTCAGGTTGAAATATAGGTCCCCCAAAAGACCATAAAATTCATTACATTCGACTACGAAGGAAGATAATGGAGAACAAAGAAAGAGCACATCTAGAGGCTCACTATTAAAGGGAGTTGGAGAGCATGAAAATTGATATTACATGATTTACAAGTCTACTCGAGCAGACCCTAGTATCCAAGTCTAGGGAGGATACCTCTACTCAGCTAGTAGTTGCAACTCCATCTGTATCTATGCCAGCAGCTCCTTTTGTATTAACGTCTTAAAATTTAGGGGCAAATCCCTCTTCATTTGAACAACAGTTCATTACCAATGTTCCAACAGCACAAGTGCCGGTTGTAAACTTGACAATTGATAACTCACATAGGATGAAATTCTCTAAACATGTTGATTATGATAAATTGACCGCTTTGGAAGAAAGATTGAGGGTACTTAAAGGGGTAGACTTATATGATCCTATTCATGCTGCAGAGATGTGTTGAGTCCTAAATGTAGTTATACCCAAAGAATTTAGGGTACCAGAATTTATCAAGTATACTGGAACTGAATGCCCAGCCACTTATCTTAAATCTTATTGTAATAAGATAGCAGAAGTGGTGAATGATGAGAAACTTCTCATCCATTTCTTTCAAGACAGTCTTTCTAGATCGGCATTAAGTTGGTATACAAGGCTAGATAATACAAAGATCAGAAAGTGGAAAGATTTGGTAAAAGCTTTTGTGGAGCAATATAAATACAACATGGAGGTAGCCCTAGACAGGTCAAGCTTGTTAGTCATGGAGAAGGGCAACAAAGAGACTGTAAGAGAATACGCTTTGAGATGGCATGAAAAAGCATCTCATGTGCAACCCTCTTTGTTAGAAAAAGAAATGGTCACTCTTTTTCCAACACTTTCAAATCTCCTTACTTTGAACACCTAGTTGGTAGTTCAGCTCAGTATTTCTATAATGCTGTAACTATTATTGAGAGGATAGAACAAGCAATAAGAATGGGGAGAATGTTAGAGCCTATTGAGAAGAAAGGCTTTATTGGGAAAAAGAAGGATTGCGAGGTGAACAACGTGGAAGCAGGATATAAGGGTAAGAAAAAAAATTACCATCATTATAACTTCCAAATACCTACCCAACAAGTTGCAAATGTAAACTTCACTAAACCTTTTCCTACCAACCAACAAAGTCAACCAAATAACCAACAAAGTAACCA